ATATATATATTTTTTTCTAATTACATATTTAAGTCTTGAATAAGCATATAACAGATACCAAATATCAAAAAATATGCTGTATATATAATCTTTTTTCCATGTATTACATTATGTGTTGTTCAATAATTTTCCCACTTGAGGAGAAGTACATAATACCATTTACAATTTTACAAGTGTGTAAAATAATGCCAATCTAACTTATCAAACTGCAGTTATTGAAAAAGAGAATAGTTCTAGAAAAACGTTAGTTGAATTTGCTTACATCTTGGTATATTAAAATATACATAATTATTATACTTTAAATTATTGGAATTTTCCATATTAAGGAACATCTACTAAATCTAAATTTATTCAACTTACATTTGCCAATAATTTATGGATAATGCAATAATTTTATATTATAATTTATTATACTTAAAAAGTTTGTATGCATTAGATCAAAAAGTAAAATAAAATTGCTTATATTTCTTTACTATACCTGGATAATCTTTTCTTGACTAATTTTCGTAACTGTTTAATATGATTAAACTTCAAATAATGATTATCAAATTTATAACGGTAACAATGAGTATTCTGAAAAATAATATTTCCATTTAATTAATAAAATTTATTGATAGTAAGTAGACTTAATTTCACAAAAATTAAAAACATTTTTTCAATACCCTAATTATGTTTTGAAAAGCGATTCATGTATAAACTAAACAAGAAATAATTATTATGAATTATTATAACTAACTAATAAAATTATTTACATCTATATTTAAGAACTTTTTATGCTATAGGTTATTTATTTATTATAATAATTACAGTAGAACTCCAATTATCTGAGATAATGCAGATCAATATTTTACCTGAGTTTTCAGTTATCAAAGGTAGCTTGGATAACTGAAACTCAGATAAAAGAAATGGCCACAGCCATTAGATTTAAAATTACAAATTTAAAAGATTTATATGATATCACTTTTAAACCTCTACATCTTATTGAATTTAATTATATATGAGAACAACAATTTTTACATCATTGATTATAGAGCTAATATATACTATACAATAGTTTTAAAAATACAAATGTGTATTATTGTAATTACATTTTAATATGAATAGTCTGTCTCATATTGAAGTTAAATTATAAAAGACAACAGAAACAAATCATTTTGTGATAAATGTCACCATTTTAAACTTTTTAAAGAAAGTCTTTTAGAGTTTTTTGTTTTACAGCAGTTCCTCCCTTTGCTGCCTGTTCTGCTCTCAATATTAGCCATTCACGGTTCAAGGTTAAAAGTATTACAGTATTTACACACTAAGTTCAGTCATGGAAAAGATTTTACAAATTAAATTATAAGAAAAATAGTGTGTTCACTTTCAGGTTTGCCTCAGATAATATGGAACCTTGGTTAATTAAGGCTAGAATATTCAGAGTCCTACTATATTATTAGGTAATAATAAGCAAAACAAAATACAGTAGTGACAAAAAATATATCAAGTCAAAAAAATCTTTCTATTAAAAAATGTAATTCTAATTATTAAAATATATATATATATTTTTTTCTAATTACATATTTAAGTCTTGAATAAGCATATAACAGATACCAAATATCAAAAAATATGCTGTATATATAATCTTTTTTCCATGTATTACATTATGTGTTGTTCAATAATTTTCCCACTTGAGGAGAAGTACATAATACCATTTACAATTTTACAAGTGTGTAAAATAATGCCAATCTAACTTATCAAACTGCAGTTATTGAAAAAGAGAATAGTTCTAGAAAAACGTTAGTTGAATTTGCTTACATCTTGGTATATTAAAATATACATAATTATTATACTTTAAATTATTGGAATTTTCCATATTAAGGAACATCTACTAAATCTAAATTTATTCAACTTACATTTGCCAATAATTTATGGATAATGCAATAATTTTATATTATAATTTATTATACTTAAAAAGTTTGTATGCATTAGATCAAAAAGTAAAATAAAATTGCTTATATTTCTTTACTATACCTGGATAATCTTTNCTTATAACGAAAAAAAAAAAAAAGTGATAATGGAACATTTCTGTTATAAACAAATCATTAAAGCATTTATTATTTTATGGTATTACTTTGAATTATTTTTTATTTTATTAAACCTGTGTTAATTTTAGTAATAAGCAAGTCAATAAGTGAAAATAAATAATTAAATATTATAACTTAATTATCCTGGAATATTTTTAAAAATGACAACATGTTATCTTGGCAATGTTATAATGTTTTGAAATCTGAGTACTTAGTATACTGTTTATAACAATTAATAGTATTCATATATTTAATTATATTTAAGACAATAAAATTTATATTGAAAAACAGACTTACAGGTTTCATGTGAAAAATGTGACCTACAAGATATCTTGCAGATTCATTAGGTTCATAAATATTATTTCTGATAAAACAATTTTTCAATAACTTTATTACTTCTAATGCTCTTATTCTTTTAAATGACCTTGATCTGTATTGAAACCAAATACTCTTAAGCATCTGAAATACAAATTATGTTAATAATATACAATATAAATGTTATAATAATATTGAAAATAAATTATTATAAATTTATTTTATTAAAATATATAAATAATTAACATTTATTTTATATTCAAATAAAATTACTGAGAGATTGATTGATCCTTGTATTTTGTGATACAATAATTTGCATCAAAAATAGGTATAAAAAAGAGCTTTATTTTTAAATAAATTATTTATTATAAATAATTATTTCTCCATAACTATATTATTAATATAAATAAATATGTTACAAAATATAAAATTGGATCAGATTTCTTGGTAGTGCCAAGTAAATTTGAACAATAGAATTACACTCTCACACCCTTCCAGTATAACTATCAAGGAAAACCTGATTTACTATAGAAAATGTGTTTTGTCAAACTGAAATTCCAACAACTTTTACATATATATCAGTATATAAAAGTTGTTAAAATTTTCATTTGGAAGAGTACTGTAATTTAATTTTAATACCATCATACATAGTTTTCTCTCAAAATAGCTAATTTAAATATATTAAAGAAAATTATTAAATATATAATGCAAAAATTGTATGAAAAGGTTGCCCTATATTTGTTATATTGCAATTGTACGAGAATAAAATCTGAAGTATGCATTGAAAGTTTTATAATAATGAGTTTTTAAAGATATACTTTTAAGAAAGTATGTTTGATAATAATTGATTTCAATAAATAACATTAATTAGAGTAGCAAAACTTACGAAAAATAAAGAGTAAAAAAAAATTAGAAGGAAAAATTGACAAGGTTAGAAACTTAAATAATAAAACAGTAAAGATATGAAAAAAAATGTAAGAATTTTCAATACATGTCAAAAACTATATCTATACCCAGAGGAGGATGTAATGGTGGGCCCACCGGGCACACAAAACCCCAACTTTAGTTTTTTCTAATGACACCAAGTTTGGTTTTATATGTGCAATTTTAATTAAGTACAAGTTTACAATCAGCGGTAAAATTTAAATATAATATATCATATATTACATTTAAATTTTATTGGAAATAAAACATTAAAATACATAACATTTATTTATTTATTTAAAAATATGGTTAACATTTATTTTTATTTTCCCTGTCTCTCTTTCTTTTTTTTTTTTTTTTTTAAAAAAAAGCCCAATATTTACTTCTGCGCCCAGGGCCTCAATCAACCTTAATCCGCCTGTTTACACCTTCATTTTACCATAGTTGAAGAGACACTTAAACCTTTTAATTGCTTCCATAAATGGTTATATTAAATATTCAATTCCTAAAAAGAAATTCTCACACTTGTATTCTAACAATAAAAATCTGCAAGAAAAATATGCAGTTTATTAAAACATTTTTTTGAAAACTTAAATAAATTTTTAACTAAAAAAAATCATTATAATTTGAACTTAACACAATTCAATAGGTAATATTTTCCTTGTAACAAGAAGAGAATTTATTACGACAAATCTCTTTAGATTAGATAATAATTTTGCTTAAAGAATAGTTTAACAATAAACAGTAATAATATAATAATAAAAATTTAAATGTAATTTTTTTCAAATTATTCAAATTATCAAAAAAATCAATAAAGTATATTAATAAGCCACTGAACTAAAATATTTCTAAAAAGTTAGGAAAAAAATCTGATTGATGGCTGAAATTATAAATATACTATTTTTTTAAAAATGATTTTACAAATATTAAAGACTAATTAATATTTAAATTACTGGTATTCTTTTATATATATATCACAGCATATATATATATATATATCATCATCACAGCAGATAAAGATTTAAGTGATAAAAATATGACAATATATTTATGACCAGATAAAATAAGCAAGAATATAAAGTACAGTCGACCCCCGTATAAGATCATTGATTATTCCGTTTTATATGAATTCCATGTTGTACGAGTAATTTAGATTTTACAAATACGTGTACCGGGCTGTGAACGGCTCACGTATTTGTAAAATTTAAGTGACTTGTACAACATGGAATTCATATAAAACGGAATAATCAATGATCTTATACGGGGGTCGACTGTAATAATTGTGTGGTTACTCTTATTATATATTCTTTCTTTTATTTATCAATCAAACTATAGTCTAAGAAAAGGCAACTGTAGAGAAGTTTGGAGCCAGATTTAAATTTGTGGCCTTATTCTATAGCATATAAGAAGCTCCTCTTCCTTCACCAAATAATAATGGACAACATGTATAAACTGTCTTTGAGAATAAAACAAGGTCCTTTGTAACATGAGACAAAGTCGTAGCTTATCTGTAAATCAAGTTCCAGAGAAGTTACTCTTTTACAAGATCAATGTAAAATACTATACAGATCAGTGTATTATCTCGAGTTTTTGAACACACAGCATTAATTAGAAGTATCCGATGGATACCATTATCTGCACAAAACATGAATCTTTATCAATAACTCTGGCACCAGTTAGATACGGATGGAGAACTGCAGATGAACGAGGAAGAAATATGCCATATTTGTGGTGAATTTGGTATAAATACACAAACATCAGATAGACAAACTGGATTCATAAAGATTGCAGTTTTTGGGAGAAAAAGTCAGTAACATATCTGTGACTTCTATCTAAAACTCTAATTGTAACAAACGTTTAATTAAGATTAATAGAACACAATGTTCTGTTAATCAAGCATCATTTGACATTATCCAAAACCTCGGACAATGCCGAATACAACGTAGTATTTTTTTTAAATGCATCTTACAGCTAACATAGTAGTTTTTAAAATTTCTTACGAGGAATCGAAATGACTTAGATGGTAGTTTCCATAAAAATTTTCTATGCCGTAGCATTCAAAACTCTCTGCGTCATCCAAGTTTACAGCTTACGTGTTTGTCATTACCCCGGTCATTCGTAAAACAGTTATAATTCATATCAAATGTCTGTTATGTACTTCATAAAAGAAATACTATATGACATATCTTTTTTCTCTTTAAAACCGTGAAAGTAATTTACAAATCATTGTTTAATACGCTGATTTCATAATCATTACGAAACGTTCTGATCGTAGACACTAATAAAGCTGCATAAAACAAAACGAATTTCCTTAACCTGAAAATTCAACTTTGAGGAACAAATGGCATTTTCTGCTCTATATATGATTCACCAAAGCAATTTTATTACAAATCTCGTAACAATTAAATAGTGAAACATTTAACTCCGGCAATATAATTTACTTGCCAACTTACCATAAAACTATATAAATTACACTAAAAACGAGTTTAAACTAGGTAAACCGTTGAGAGGTACTAGACAGCACGTGCGCATAAGGCGAAGTTACGTCACTAAAACTAGACTTGCACGTGCACATAAAGGCAAAGTTACGTCACTAAAACCGTACGACATTGCTCTCGTTGAAGGGTACGAAAGCAGACAACTAACGAGAAAATCCTTTAAAGATGGTTTTCGAACAAACTAGTATTTTAAGCGATAATTCTATATACAAGAAATTATTAGAATATAAAAAGAATAATGAATCCAAGTTGTGTATGCCTTCCATGTTTAAAAACGATCCCAATAGATTTGACAAATACAGGTGAGTAATAAAAAAAAGCTTGCAATTTAAAATAATTTTTTAAAAATTTTATAATAGAAATAACGTGGATATTAAATAATAATAATTTTATAAAAATGCTTTTTCGAAGTAACGAAGAGGGCAATTTTGTGTCACCTTCTTTGACCTTGAATTTGACTCGTTCCGTTTCCCGGGAAATAAGGAAATGTTTTGAAATGAATATGTTTAAGAGATTGTAATTTAAATGATAAATTTTTATCTTTTAATATATATATATATATATATATTTTTAGATTTTGATATTTTTCCTATACTAAATTGCCATCTGTTGGCTGTTTATGTAAATATTATAAATAAATATTTTTAAAATTTAAAGTTCTGAAATTGATTTGCAAAATATCTCTAGCACCGTAGGAGGATCGTATGTATGCATATATTTATATCATTACGAAGAGAAACTTGCAGCAAGTTTAGAATTAAACATTTCATTAATGGGAGCGTGGAAAAAGTTGTTTTTATTGTGGTTACTAGAGGGCGACACTGAAATGAGTTTGATTTACGAATGAGTGAATTTCAAACTAATTTCTTAATGGATAACTGGAACAGTTTTCCTCTTATTTTTGAAAAATTAGCTCAGTTATTATTATTATTATTATTTAAAATAAAGACTGCATTTTTGCAGTGAAGTATTCCCATACTGCTACAAATAGTGTTTAAACTGAAGAAAATGGTGTTTTCCTTGTTTAATCACTTGCATGATCTGCAATTACTTTGAAGAATTTAATAAAAAAGTTATTATTCTTAAAGAAGACTATTTAAACATTTCCTTTGTTGAATTTTTTCTTTTCATTTCATTTCAAGCATGGATCTTATGGTTATTTTCAGTCTTGGCTTCGTTTTATAATCCTTACTTCCATATTCAATTGCAAATCAGTTACATTCATAAATATAAACATCTTAACTGCACCCGATACATTGCAATAACACCCCTTTAATTGTCGTATATCATTGGGCTATAATTTGTTAATAATAAAATTCTTTAGTAATTAAAATATAGGAACTGTTCTACTTTCAGCACTGGAGTGAAATCGACGTTACACTATCTGGAACCTGTGACTGGTGCTCTACATGTATATATTTGGAACAGACACCCGATCCCAACAAATATTGATAATATACACTCCGTCCGGGGAATTTTCAGTCAACCTGAAGAAGAGCAAACAGATCGCTCGAAAACGTTTGTCAAGCGATATACAATATATACGCGTACAGCACTGGTCACAGGTTCCAGATAGTGTAACATCTTTAGTAATTTATAATTATTATTACCAAATTATAGCTCGATGATATACAGCAATTAAAGGGGTGTTAGTTACATTCATAGTGATTAAAAATTGAAGTAAGCACATACCATAATCCATTTTACATTTGTCTTCCATAATGAAATAAATTTTTCAAAATTTAGTTATTTAATTTATGATTGAGACTATAATAACTTGCATGATTTTTATGTTAGAAAAATGATGTAAAGAAATGTCATATTAACATTAAATTATTAATAATGTAAAACAAACAACTACTTTCGTAAATATAAAACAATTCTTTATTAAAATAGACTTGACAAAAAATATACATCTCTGCTTAGATTTTTTTAACACTTAGATGTATTGTTATCTTTCTTCATCTTAAATGATGAATTCATTTGGCATGTATCCAAAGAATTGAAATTTGGTTTTTATCTGGAATTAAACCTTGAATTTTTACAAGGATGTATAACTTAAATACTATTTCTATCTTACTGAGCCAGAAATAGTATTAAAACTATAGGACTGCTGTTAATTAAATACAGATTTGATTGATTCATTTTGATTGTTCAGAGATAGTTCCAATATAATCTCACTCCTTCACATTAAAAACTTGAATTTCTGTTATATTTCTAATTAATGATCAAATGAAGTTAAAGTTGAACAATCATTCAATTTCAAATAATCAAGTCAACAATAAAACAATCAGTATGAAATTTATGAAACTTAGCACCATTATGATGATGATAATAATAAAACAATCAAAATCAAACAATTTTTGGTTCAGTTTTTAAATTGAATGAATCTGATGATTGATGATAAAACATTATCCTTCAAAAGCATTAATACCTTGTTAAAATATATTTCTATACAAAACTAGTGAATTTCTGTTGTATTCCTGAATTGTTCAGGAGATAGACTAAAAAAATTTTTTTTTGTTTTCCTAGTTTGTTTTGTTTTTAATCTATTAATATTTTCAACCATCTCCATACTAAATTTGCTAAAACAGTATAACACACCTAAAAAAATCTCCCCCTAGACTACCTAAACACACAAGTGTATATATGATACCCCTAAGGGATCACATCATCAGCAATGACCTAGTATACATTGGATCTACCAGTAGATCTTTAAAATAGAGGTTAAGGAAAGGTCAATATGACTTGGATAAGGGAAAATTCTCCACTGCCCTGGTCACATATGCCTCTGATAAAGACATAGAGGCTTTTGTTCCATCAAGTGACGCACAGCTCGTGAAGATGAAGGAATCTGGAATATTGATGTCCTTGAAATTTTTAAAGCTGAAAGGAGGGTAACATGCATTAATTATAAAGAAGAAAAACAAATCTCATATGTTTTGCAAACAATGTACAGTACAATCCAGCACTATCTATGGAAATCCATCCAATCAACATAGCTCACCAAATTAAATCACAATGCAGCTTCATATGTCCATTGAACCAAGTAGCATTTTAATTTAAATTTAAATTTGAACATTGGCTTTAATTCATGTTCCATTTAAAGGAAAGCAGAAAACCTGAAGCAGAGCTCAGGAGGAGCCCAAAAACATTTGTTTACATTTACCTGTGAATTTTGTTGCTGGACTCCTGGTGGTTTTCTTGAGGTGTGTTACACTGTTTAATCTATTGATGATCAGCATAAATTGAGATAAATAATTGTTATTTTTAATCATTCTATCTGTTTTCCAAATATTACATTGCTATTTGTGATCATAATAGCAAAGTAGATTTTGTCACACTTTTTCATTTCTTAAGATAAATTTTATACAATAGGTAACATGTTATGAGAGGTAATAAAGATGAGAATTTTTTTGCTTGTTGCTTTTTATATTTAATTATTAAATAGTTGAATAAAATGACTTATTTGTAAATATAAGGCAATTACTTCTCATTCAAAAATTAGATTCAATTCTGTTTTGTTTGATTTCTATCTGAAAATGGATGCTAAAGTTCCTAAAAATGTTTAATCTTAAAAAATAATAAAACTCCTGAAACTGAATGAGCAATTTTTTATTTTATGTTTCGTATAATAAAAATTGGAGTCACATGTGTAATGTATTTTCAATGTTCTTCTCAGGAATGAGTTTTAAATCAGTAGGCAATGTTAGTTGGACGCTGCTGCAAATTTATTATGAGCCTTTCAGTTGATAGTTGATGGTAATATGAGTTGAGTACCAGTGACCATTTTGTTGCAACTCAATAGCATACTACTACATATTCTAGTTATGAAGAAAACAATTGGGAAAAAAATGTTTTTAACTGGTCATAAGAAATATTTAGCTAGTCAATCTATCAGCTAAAACCAAGTTTGAGGAGGATACTGAATACCGATTTATAAACCGATTTACTATAACAAAAAAAAACAAAAACCGCTTAGATATTCAGTACTGTATAAAAGAATAAAAAATTTTTTATACTGTATTCCTAAGAATCAAAATACAAAAATAAATTTTCTTGACTTGTTTTTATAACAAATTTAGTATTAGTTATTTTCATTTTTAAAGTTTTATATTAAAAATGTTTGAATATATTATTTTTTATTTATTACAAAGTTATTTATTGATAACATTAATATATACTGGTGTTGTTAATAAAATATTTTAATTTTAGTATTTGCTTGAAGACACCTGTTAATGGAAAAATACTTTTTGATTTTTCAAAAAACCTTATTGATGAAGAAGTTTTAAAATTGCTTTTACAGTTGGTAAGGCAGTTTATTCAGTTTTAAGATCATTAAACATAATTATGATATTGTATTTTTATATATTCTTATTATTATTTGATTAATTACCTTCATCAATTATAATAATGTAAAATTTTAATATTTATATTCATTGATAACATTTATTTATTTATTTATTTACATGCATTTATTTATTAGATTACTAGTATCTACACATTATGAGGATAGATTTTAAAAATTTTCTTTACATGTTGAAATAGTTAAAAGCATAACTTTTTATTTTCATTTAAAATGTATTTGGTTAAATACATTTTAAATAATAAGGTTAAATTCTTGTTACTATTTTATTAATAATTAATAGAATACAGTTTATAGATTAAATTCAGATCAAGTCAAATTTATAGCAATTTTTAAATTTTAAATGATATCAAAGCCTTGACTTTTAAACTTTAGAATTAAAAACTAGTCCTCAATCTTCATTTCAAAGTTCTTTTACACAGTTTCATAAATAATCACTTCTGCTGGGCATCTTGTCTCTTTAAAGATATACAAAATCATACTGAAGCAAAGTTATAAGATAACAGAATCATCAAGCTTCAAAATAAGGAATCCAAAGCTGATTGTATGACATTGTGTTTTGTCAAATTTATTTACAGGTGTGACAATAAGCTAAAAAAGAAAGTATCTAACAACATATTAATGCTTATACAAGTGACAAATCCATTATAAACAATAAACAAACAAATCAGCAATGCATCTTGTCAAATATAATGGTAATTTGGAAATATAAAAATATAAGTAAGCGTTTGTGAATGCCTTATCCAATCAGAGTACAGGTCTGAAGTTAAGAGTAGAACAGAAATTAAATGTGAAAGTATATTTCTTAGATATTTGTAAAGAGAAAAGGAATTGCTTATAGATCAAGCATAAACAGGAAGAATGCATTTGGGCTCACTTAAATTTTACTGATTTCAAAGATTTCATTTAATATAAGCATACCATACAATCTTTAAATCCTTAATAGAAAATGTTGAAAGTAATATCAGACTTTGAAGCACTAAAGCTATGTTTACACAGTTGCTTTTTCTAGCTGCACGAGCAATTGCAACCAGCTCACTGTTCCTATTGTTTGGTAAACCCCTTCAAACTATATGTGAAAGCAACCAGAATTGACCACAAACTAGTTTGTTTTCTTTGTACCAGTTCTTTCAGATGCCATCCAATGAGAAATGTCAAATCAAATGACATGGAAAGAAGTGGTCTGGAATACTACTTTAGTAGCTTGTTTCATTGAAATAATTGAGTAATGTGATTCTTTATGGACTGTCAGTTCTATAGAGTATTGTCAAAGATGTAAAAAATAAGATTTGGAGAGAAATTAGCAAAAATTTAGAGATTGAGAGTAAGTTATATGTTTAAAAAATTGTTTGCTTTGCTTCAGATACTGTTTTGATGTGGACTGTGGTCACACATGATGTGTACAATTGTGAAAACACTATCAAGTTTTGCAACATGCAACAACAATGGTTGCAGTTTCCAGCATGTCTAGAAAGAGAAACCATTTAAACACAGCTTAAGCAAAGAATTGAAAATTTCTTTTAAAAATAAGATGGCTTGGACATAGAATTGGAAAAGTTTGAATGGTTAGATATGAAAAAAAGAAAGATTGACTGAGAGAAAGATTTTAAAAAATAACGGGCATATACCGTATACAGAATTGAAGAAAATACTTTTAAAAGAAATTAGAGAATACTGTAGGGAAAATAATTCTTGTTAACAGGAATTGAACCATTACTGATCTTGTAAGAAAAGAAAAGAAAAAAAGAGATGATCCAATACATGAATCCAGTGCCGGCCCGAGGCAAGTTTTAGGATGGAGCGAAATCCTATTATGGCGCCTCTGTTCGTTGCCCCTAATTTATACCCTTTAATTTTCTTTATCACTGAAGCGTCCCCTAGGACTTAGCGCCTGGAGCGGCTGCTCCGTTTGCCCTATGGTAGGGCCGGCTCTACATGAATCTTCCTCAACAGATGGTGAGGATAGAAGTTAAACCTAAACCTATTGTATACCAAATGCATATATAAATGTAATATGAAGAAAAGAAAAGATAGTATAGTAGAGCATAGGTTATTCAAAATAATCAGTGGGAGAATTTCAGATAATAAATTTTTTCAGATAATTGATCAAACTTGGTAGGGAAAAAATAAAAGATAAATGCCTTGAATAAAGCAAAATACTAAATTTATTTCTAGTATAATAGTAAAAACGATTAAGACAGAAATTTAATACATATGAATGATAAATAGCATTAAAAATTATCTAATTTATTAAAAACAAACACTAGTCTCATTGTAATCTACAATATACTGATGAAAATTTAAATTCAAAATAAAAAATATATATTAGTAAAATTAATATTAAATAAAATACAGTAGTCATATATAAATTATTTATTACAGTTCTCTTTAAAGAAGTTACTTATTTTGCTTTGTTTACATAGTTTTTTTTTTTTTTTTTTTTAACTCTCATGCCCATAAGCAAGTGTGGGATTTAATCCCATGCTTGCTTGTGGTTATGAGAGTTGAAAAGTCTCTTTCAAGTTTCATTTTGAACCATTTCAACACTGTTTCTAATGCATCAAATGATTCAATGTAAGCACAGCAAAGCATTTTATATATTTGAAACTTATGACTCATTAATCATGCTTTTTTATTTGCATTAATAAATAAAACCTAACATTAGTGTTGATAATGAGATAGTTTGATAGCCTAGAGATGATCACCAACAATCGTTATTATATAAATACTTTGTAGTACTTATCTGGACTTAATATTCTTTGAAGTCAAGTTCAGTTAATCAGTTTTGTGAGTAATTGATGCTCTACTGCATGGGGGCCAACAAGTCGATAGCAAAGCCAATTTTGGTTGCTCGCTCACGATGTCTTGACTTAATGTGTTACACTTGTAACCAGTGGTGATATTCAGCGGGTTCGCACAGGTTTGGCTGAACCCGTTGTTAACATTTTCAAAGTTTTCCGAACCTTGTTAAACACATGTAACATTTCTCAGTGGTTTTGTTTCTTTTAAAAAAATATATTAAAATATACGTATTATACTCTGTAACACTACTAAACTAGAGCCTTCCGATGCACCATTTGAGTGAAAAAAAAATTGTTAAGGAAAAATTTTCTGTTAGTGTGTGGCTGTCCGCCATTTTGTATATACATAGTTATAGTATTTAGATTTAAGATTCTTTGTTCTTTTCCTTCCTTCTTCTTTCTACTAATGACCATTTCCGGTCACCCGATCAGGAGCGGGAATTTCGTGGGTCCTGATTGGTGGCTTACCGACGTGAACAGGGCGCGGCTCTGCTCGTGGGGTACACAAGGTGAACAAAGGGGTAAGAAGGATACTTTTTGCCTGGACGACGAGGAGAAAGGGTTAAGAAAATATCGTCGGGACATTAAGTCAGGCTTAAGACAAAGAACCTGCCCAATGTGCGAAGTTTAGCGTAGTCCAAAGAGAAGAGAATAGGACTAGTGACTTGATTGATGAGAGATAGTAGTCTACGGAAACTAAGTGCCAAATTTCATACTAGGAATGTTTAATATACCAAAGTCGGCCGAGAAAACCCCCGCAATTATCGGAAACCACCACCAGGACCTCCTGTGCTAACTACCGGTAGACCTTTTTCTTTCCTTCCTTCCTTTTCCTCTTATTAGTATAGTGTTAGATTAAGTTAGATGTAAGTTAATTATAAGTTAGTGATTAGAACCTATATCGCGATAATTAAAAATTGTAAGATTCCGGACGAGAGTAGAGACCTGTTGTATATCTGTGTATTTGTCTTTGACGGGCATCTCTGTGTTACCTGTTAATCCCTGTTGTAATAAATTATTGTTTAATTGATATTCGTTGGAACGATTTGTCTCGTACATCTTTAATTTTCACAAGTGAACCCTTTGTTAAATATTTCGAATATCACCACTGCTTGTAACCGAATACAACGCGTGAACATAACATGCAAATGCAACTGTAGTGATATCGGACCCCCACATCCTCTCTCAGATGCAGTTTTGTCAGTCCATGTGCAATCCATTTGCGTACAGTTGTAAAAGGGGAATAAGAGATGTAGACAAAGAGTCATAAAACCAAAAAAAGAAAGGCGGTTAGAAGGACAGAGAGAGTAGATCAGGACACAGTAGAGAGAGGAAGGGTGAAGTGGTGATTTCGAAAGTGACAACGTTGAATTTCAATTTTTTTCCTGTTTAAAATGCAAGTACCTTTTCTTCATGTTTTAAATTAAATTGTGGCTTTTCTTACCTATCTAAACATAGTATGTATTTCACATCTCCCCCTTGCCACTTAGACTATGCCTAAGACAACAAGTTGATCACGACACATTTCTAAGATAAAAAGTAGATCTTATGTACACAAAGTTGGCCACCCCTGCTCTACTGTACTACATTCTATGAATAAGTTAGAAAGATGAAGAAAGAGATGCATTTATAATCCAGAATTTCTTTGGTTTTATTTCATGTGATGATGTTTTGTTGATTAATGTTATTAATGTATATTAACTCTCATAAAGCAAGATTTCATTGTTTAAAACGTAAAAAAGAATATTTTATATTTTATAATATAATTAACTTAAAAATGAACTTAGCAATAAATTTATTTATCTGGCAAATAAATTCATAGCTTGATGTTAAAAACTTTAGTTATTTTCTTTAAATAAGAAATTTGCAAATTTACTTATATCTTGATAGATTACACTATATAATAATTGCATATATAAAAATGCTCAAATATAATTTTCAGAATTATTGTGAAATATACAAAAAAAATTTAATAGTTTAATAAATGCAAAACTTCAATTTTTCTTTTTTAGGCTAAAGATCGTAAAGTTGAAGAAGCAAGAGATGCTATGTTTTCTGGAGAAAAGATCAACTTTACTGAAAATCGTGCTGTTTTACATATAGCTCTTCGTAATAGAAAAAATTCACCAATAAATGTTAATGGAAGTGACGTAAGAAAAATAGTTGATATAATTTTATAAATTATTACATATTTATTAAATAAAATAACATTTGCTTAGAATAAAATACTTAGAATGTTCTATATATTTTTTTATTTATTTAAGAGCACACATCTGATTAACAAACATTTTTAGAATTATTATTAATACTGTATTTGAAAATATTGTTATTTTAATATTTACTGTTATGTGCTATTAATAAATCATTTGTTTTATTTAATGATATATTTACATTAATTTATACATATTATTATATGTATAGGGTTACCATAATAGTTGAAGACAAAATACAGACAGATTAGCATTAAAAGTACTTATATAGCAAGACAAAATAAAAGGAATTTATTCATATTTTTCAATCTAAGAAATGTAGGCATATATAATATAAAGTTTCAATTTACACTTTCCTTTGGGATACAGAATGCAATTTTAAATATAAGAAAACTATTTTACCACTTAGATAAAAGTACTATTGAATTAAAAAATCATTATAATGAATGTTTGTGTACATATATTCTAAGCAACAGAGCCATTACATTTCGGGACATACCAATTTTCAACGCTGACTCAGCGCTGATCTCAACATTCGTCAAAATTCGTTCCTTTTTTCAACATTGAGGTAGCGCTGTTGTCAGCGCTGACTCAACACACTCAGCACTCAACAGATATGTTGACTGCTACTTTCCAATGAATTGTGGGTAATTGGTAAGACATTTGAATGGAATCCATCTTGCTGAGAATGGAATTATGGGAACTAAGCACTTCGTACTCGAGTTGGAACGTCGTTGCTGACGTCAATTTGTTGACTTCAACACTCAACACTCGCGTTGAAAATTGGAATGTCCCG